ATAATGATATGCGAAAGCGTCAGCGTCAGGTAGCGCAGGCGATAGTCTGGCACGGGTAATACCGAATATTCTCAATTGAGAACATATGGGTAATACCCGTTGAGGTGTATGCTAAACGGGTGCAGCTGGTACTTTTCAAAGCTTTAATTTTTCCACATCCCCTCAGGTATGTTTTTCCGTTTTCGGCTCCATCAAAGGTGTGACTACTCCTCTTTCGTAACATTTTAAGCAAAATACTAGCATATTAACAAAATAGTGTTTTTCCCTATCTATTCCTTATAAAAATTGTGCATGACACTTGCCAGACGCTCGCGCGCCATGCATGCACAGTAAAGCATGTGACACAATTTTGCCAGAGTTTCACCTCGGTATATTATACTGCTTTGTGGTATTAATTAACTAACGTGCGTATATAGACCACCTGGTATTTACAAATCCAAAATAGATAAAAACGAGTGAAAAATTCCACAAAAACAACAGAAAAAGAAATAAAACGTTGATACAAACTTCAAAAGCCTTCGGACGGGTGTCTAATTACTGATCACTTCAATGGTATTTGTTTAAAGGAAAGTGAATTAAAGAATAAGTTGAAAATGCGTAAAAACGCAGATCGCTTTTGTGCGTGACCACACGCGGTCATGCACGTCACTTCACTATACTATTCCGACAGTATTCTTCTTCGGAATATCTGGTGTAGATTATTCCGACGTATTCTGCGCAGAATACTACTAGTATAATACTAGTATTCCGGTAATATTCAAAGCAAACACCAGAATATCCCAGAATATCAGTGAAACCAGAGTAAATTCTCAAAAATCTTGTCAAATAGAATATGCAGCATGTTCCAATTTTCCAAGAACGTGTTATAAATAATTGAAAAACGCACACACATTGTTATAACAATTATTCATTGTTACATGTTTTTTAGTAATAAATGTTTAGCATGTTTGGATATCGCTCTGAAATAAACATTTCAATTACATGTATTTTTAAATGCAAAATTTCGTAAATCAGGTTTCAACGTGAGGTTAGAAAAAAACATCTTTTCGAAAAATGCAAACATAGCTAACTTACTTCCTGATTGTATTGATAAAGCTCGATTTTCCAACGCTTGATTCTCCAATTACGGCTATGCTTATCTTTATTTCTTTCCATTTCCCAAGTCTTTGATCGTTTAACTGCTGCACAAACTCTATTCCTTTGTTTTGAAAAGTCACAACAGTCTCCGAATAATATTTTTGCGCCCGGTTCTTCAGACTCCCTACATAAAAAATACTAGAAGATGAAATACATCTCGATATCTGGACGTACTCTACGCATTATATCTCCCGCTATAAATAATTTGATGAAAAATGTAATCAAGTTTTATTTATTCAAGGCTGCAAATATTTTTTCTCTAATAAAAAGACAGGAGATTTTGCCAAAAGTTTTACATCTTTGGCTGTTAATTGGCCACTCCACGTTAATGAATAACAACACTGCAAATACGCTTTTCTCACAGTTTGGTTTTGCCATTCTTTTAGTTAGGCTGCCGTGAAGTCATAAATCAAAAATGGGGGTGGGGGAGGGTGCAAATACGCAGCTCCGAATCCATTTGTGTAGTGCTAAAACTTCAAGTGTGATGTTGTCAATTTAACAAAAATACAGCCTTAAAATCTCTTATACGCAGGAGTTCCAAAAAGTACCAAAAATACAATCATTGAGTATCAAAAATGTAAAACAGTTCCGGAGGATGACCCGAAATCAATTATTGTAATGGGTAAATTTACTGTTATTTCTGGTCTCAAATGGAAGTTTAACCCAGAACCAACCGCGCAAAGCGATTTATTTTCCGAGCGTAAGGCCGGAGTGAGGCTACTAATTCCGTTTGGCTATTTCTAACCGGGGAAACGAAATTAATAATCGCGGGCATAAGGCTATTGTCGAAAGTTTTATGGATGGACCTCCTCACCTGTCTCAAAACATGGGAAATCGTTAATATTGGACAAGTGTGCTTTGAATGCTTAATGTTTATGAAATTTGTTGCTTCAATTCTTTCCCTAAAACCTGTAATGCTTTTCTGTCAATGAAATTGCACATTTTCTAAATTACACTGCTCAATTGGTGCAAACCAACCTTAAACTGTAAAGGAGCTTACAACCAAGGTGGCTCAATACAATTTTTTATAAAATGGAAAAATTACAAATTAGGTCTGTATTTTGAGAAAATCACCTTTGAAAAAACAAAAACGGGCTTACTTATGTAAGTCAACGTTTAGTATGTTGAATTTTTGGACAAAGGTTTCAGAACTACAGTTGCTATGGCAACAATGAAGTTATAATATTGCGAATATTTTGACTTTAAAATAATTTAGCTCGACAATGACATCAATTTTATTTCTTATAATAAAATCTCTTATATAGTATATTGAATTTATTCTGTCAATTTAAAGAAAAGTTTAATAAGTTAAATATATATTATAAGAAACAATTTTTAAAATATAAAAATTGGGGTCTCGACGTCGTTTTCAAGTCAAATTGCTAAAGTCAAAACGTCCGCCAGCAGTAGTTCTGTAACTATGGTGTAAAAATTCAAACTGTTTTGATGTTGTTTTACATTAGCTTCCTCCGCAGGAATCTCGTGGTTCAAGTATTTTACAATGTCCGTGAAATCAATGAAGCAACAGCCAAGCTAACACGACTGTCTGTGTCTGAAATGTGAAATTAGCTGGGTGCATTTTAGTCGAGGACCTGTATATGAGTTTGTATGCATTTCATTTAGGACAGATAATCTCAACTGTTTTAGGGCAAGTTGACCATGACGGTCAACATGGTAACATTGCCCGAACCCCAATCAGGGACGGAACGTCCGAAACTGACCACACCCAAAAACGACGCTTTCGCCATA